ACCGGGTATGTCACATATTTGACAATGCACACAACCTCGGCCACGCTGTCCACGCCCTCGCTGGCCTCTCTGATGCCGGCCGCGACCACGTCCACCGTCGTTGGTGGACCTGTTGTTCGATGGTGCCTGCTGGGCAATCAACACAGCTGGAGAATGGCCGACTGGTGCAGCTTCTTCCGGAAAAAGGTAGCTGTGAGTATTAAGGAGATCAGCTACTTCCGATATGGTCAGGGGAGCACTTTTGGTCGTGAGGGAGGCAACGAGTGACCGATATTCTGGCCTGAGACCCCTGAATAGGTGCAGGTTCTGCTCGTCTAGTCCTATCGGCCAACCGGCCAGTGCGAGCTGTTCGACGAGAATTTTGGCACGTCCGAGATACTCGGATGTCGATGAGTTCCCTTGCTGAAGCCCCTGGAGTTGTGTTAGTAAGCTGAGGGTGCGGGAACGCGACGTCGAGCCCAAGGCTGTTTCGACCAAGACCCAAACTGCCCTGGCAGTGTTGTGGCCGATTGCGAGGTATAGTACATCCTCCGCCATGGACGAGTACAGCATGCTTAGAATGGACTGGTCCTGTTGGACCCAGTCGGCGTGCAGCGGATTCACCACCGGGGTTGCCGTTGGCGTGGTCGGGGAAGGCAAAAACTCCGGCGGACGCACACTCGTTCCGTCGACAAAGCCATAGAGATTTTGGCCTCTCAAGAATGGGACCAGCTGCGCTCTCCAGAACAGGTAGTTCGTGGCATTCAACTTTAGTGAAACATAGTGATGCGCCTGCTGCAATACACTGGCCGGACGTCGGTCAGGTTGCGCAACTGCTTGGTTCTCTCGTTCGGAGGAGTCGGCGGGAGTGGGGTTGGATGTGACTGTGGGTGGGTTGGCCATTGGACCGTATTTTAGGCTGATACCAAATGAGAAGGGAAAAACTCAGATTTCAATATTCACGGTGAAGAAATATTACAAGGCTTATATAGTAGAGCTGCCCACCACAATAGGTGGGGGAGCTTGACACAGCTAAAGACTCTACTTTATTATAACAAACTAATAATAAACTAGCTGACTTAATACAAATGGTATTCGGTTCAGTTCAGTTTTTTACCGAACAATTCGGATCGATTTTTATCGAACCGTTCGGGTATACAAGAATCCAATACCGTTCGGTATATTACCGAACAAAATTAGTTCAGTTCGGTTTGGTATAGTTTAATTCGAGAAAACTAAACCGAATTGCCCACCCCTAAAGTTAATTACCAAAATGGTCCCTTGACTATAGCAAAATTACCAATTTGGTCCCAAGTTAACGGTTGACTAACGGTCAAACAAAATAAGGGACCAAATTGGTTAAGATTTTTAAAGTTGAAGGACTTAATAGGTTAAAAAAAATATTCAAGGACCAAATTGATAATTTCGTTATAGTCAAGGGACCATTTCGGTAATTAACTCTATATTATAATTATAGAGAAAATTTTAATTTTGGTCACATGACTATAGGGGCTTTGTTAATTTCAACACATGACTTTTAAAAGTGTCAATTTAATACCATGACTATGTAATTTTTGTCAATTTTGATCACTTCGGCCAAATTGACGGTCAAATTTGACCGGAAAAATTTAATGCAACATTTAATCTATAATTTGAGGGGCAAAATAGTCTTTTGATCCTTTTTCTTAATTGATTTTGACCTGGTTCAGCAAATGTGATAGATAGCACCCAGTTTTCCTTATCTGATCTTTTCTGGGGCACCAATGTCAAGAACAGGGGGTTTTCCTTGTGTATTCTTGAGTTTCAATAGTCCATTTGAAGGCCTTTTCAGTCCATATTTATCGATGTTTTCGAGGATAAACCATGTCAGGACTACCAGAATCTATTCCACCAGCCACAGCGGCAGCCATTTCATCATTAACACAGCGAGTTTGAACGTCAATTTCCCCAAAATTTCTCTAGGCAGTACATGTACCTAAAGAAAAATAAAAAAGAGGAAAATTTTTATTAGAATTCAACCATGATTTTGCATTAACGTTGTCGTTTAGTTGATGGCTTTCATGCTTACCGAGCTGCGGCAAACCATGGTAGGTTTAACGTCGTGGTTGCAAATATCGAGGGAGATTTCCATGCCGGAATTCCCACAGCCGACGTCGTGAAAATCCTCGCCGAACTTATAATCGCAGACATAGATCACTTCGCTACCGAATTCCTTCAACCCTTCAATCTCCGGCACGACGGACTCCGCATTCTCGTCGGTGGCCACTGGCAAATATACTCGACTTCTCCGCCGTCAGGGGACGCTGTCTTGACCCGCCACACCTTGCAGGCCTTGTCGTACTTAGCGGACTGCACTCATTCGTTGAACCGCGGCTTGATGTCGAAGTGTTCAGCGTACGATTCGAGGTATTTAATGAACTCCCGCATTGTCTGATACTCCGGGTAGTGATCCAGAAAAGGGTATTTTGGGAGCTGGCAAAATTGCTTGGGAAGATGAAGTTTCAGGCGGTCGTAGGTGCACACCAATTAGGAGAAAGGATCAAAAGACCATTTTATTCCTCAAATTATTGATTAAATGTTAGATTAAGGTTTTTCGGTTTAATTTGGCCGGAGTAACCAAAATTGATAAAAAATTGCATAGTCAAGGTACTAAATTGATACTTTTGAAAGTCAAGTGCTGAAATTAACAAAGTCCCTATAGTCATGTGATCAAAATTGAAATTTTCTCTATAATTATATTATGTTATATTATATATTATAAATATTATATATTATGCGGCTTGACGAGCCACGAGCCTAGAATATCTAGGCTCGGCTCGAGCTCGATTATCAAATGAGCTGCTCGAGCTCGATTATCAAATGAGCTGCTCGAGCTCGGCTCAAGCTCGATTTTGACCGAACTCGAGCCGAGCTTTGACTGAGCCACTCACGAGTGGCTCACGAGCGGCTCGGCTCATTTACACCCCTAAGCATATTTATATATATATATAGTACAAAATTGAACATAGAAGATTGACCATAGGCCACCATTGTTGAAAGAAAGGTTGCCTAATCTTAGTCCAAAAATTCGCGGGAGCACTTTTATAAATAAGTAATCAATAATTCGCCACCATTGTTAGCTGTAATGGTTGCCCATTGTATTTTTTATATATTTAAAAAAACTTAATTTATAATAGGCAACCATTTCTAATAGAAATGGTTGCCTAATATTAACCCTAGATCTAATAGAAACAGTACTGTCTCCCACGCAGATCTAAAAGAAATTAAACTTTTGATACTATTCACTTTACATATCTGAACTTTTGATAGTGTTATTAAACTTGTTTTTGATTGCATATGCTTGAGATTAGATGGTTTTTACTATTGACTTTACATGATGTCTCTACCTCTTTATATGTCCACAAGTTTGTGGTACTGCACATAATTTTGTTTGCCTAAAGCCCTAAACCTTAAGGAAGGAAAGTACTCTTTTATGCAAAATACTCTGTGCAAGCTCCGGTGCTTTCAACACGTACAGGTGTCTCCCTCTCTCTCTCCTATTATCTCTGCGGCTACCGGTTTTACTACAGCTTCTCCTCACCCAACGCCTATTATGCTTTCCATTAATTAGTTTATTTTGTTACTCTTAGAGATAGTTCCGGGTTGTTTGGTTCAAGACATGCTGCAAGACCTCACCACCTGCGGGTTTCATGGTGAGCAAACTTTTCTATTTATATATTTCACAATTTGTAATGACTTTTCTTCCAGCTTATGCATTTTGTCCATTTTACACATGGGTGACCTGTTTAAGCTTTACTAGAATTTTGGCATGTTTAAGCTTTACTCTACTAGAATTTCAGACTGTCCAATGTTGAGCTTAATTATTTTTTTGAGATTCATATACATTCCCATTGCTCTGCTTGACTTTGAGATTTATGCAGTATGTTCCTGTTTTGTGTTTTCTTTCCCTTCAATTTTGTTATATTATAGGTTTGGTATTAGTTCTAGCCATTGAGAGTTTTCTTCTTGGCATATATGTATGTGTGTCTTTAATTTGTGCCTGTGAAATACTTTTGTTTTTGTCTTTTTGAACATATTATTGATGATGACATGAATTCCAACTCCAGATGTTCCTTTGATGTTGTGTTTTGAGGAGGGGGTTAGGGGTTAAAGAGGTGTTTGTACTAACTTAATTACCACTTTCGTTTGCAGCCAATCTTTTTCTGTACATTGCACTTCTTTAACACATGTAGAATAAGTGTGAAGAAGGAAGGAAATAAAACTAGAATAGAAATTCAATCAATAATCATACCAAGTGAAACTGCACATTTAGTTTGTAATAGAGGGACTAGTAGTATGGCAAAAGGCATATTGGTCTTTAAACATTTGTCTGATATTGCAGAAGCCCAAATGTGTTCCCACTGGAGGATCTTGCTGCATCTAAATTTGGTATGTTTTTTCTTTGGTAAAGTAGTCAGAAAGTGTTCTATGGATATGCTTACTTTTCTTCTTTTATGTGATCCCAGTCAAGTTATATCACCCAATTCTATGTATTCATGTATTGTTGTGGTGCTGTCCTTTCACAAATTCTCTGACCAAAATATATAATATATATGTTTTTTTTTTCAGAGTGCTTGTATAATGCCAGCTATAATGCTCCTGAAATTCAGTTTTCTGTCTTTACAATTTTCAAATGATGAAATGCAAAGAACTTAGTTTGAAATCTGTTTACAGGGTTCTCCTGAAGAATTCATAAGCAAGCATAGGGAGGCCCTTGAAAGTGAATATGTTAGCTCAAACCTTCACTATTGGATTGATTTGATATTTGGTTATAAACAGCGTGGAAAACCAGCAGCTGAGGTATGGCCAACAAATTTGTAGGGCAGCAAGTGTATATGAATCATCTTCGGCCTTTCCTCTTGGACCATCAGGCTAAGCTTGACCGAATTGTTGGATTTGTATATGGTGAAATGGTAAATAGTTTACACATGCATTTTGATCCTTTGATTTACAAAGCAGTGGCTGAGTTGCAACCTTGGATGATATCATATTCTCTTATTTGCATTGTATTCTGTTTGGAGTCTATTGAATTTCATTTTCTCTGTGCTGTAGTTTTCCTGTTGGTGAACAGAGAGTTGTTTTGCAGGAGGCAAGAGTGTATGCAGAGAAAATAGTCTTTTCTTTATGGAAACTTCTGCAAAAACTGCAGCATAGAAAAAGTGGATTGGTAGTGGAAGGTGTTTGATAGATAGAAGGTTGGCAATGGAATCATCTTCTACTCACAACAACCCTATTCCCCTCAGAGAAGTGCACACTAACTACTATCCATATCCACCTCCTTTGGCTACATATCAGGATGTTGTGGCCTCAACTCTTCATGGATACACTGCAGAGACTCCATGCCTCTCTTGGAACCAAGTTCATGTATGTTTCAATTTTTATCCACTTGTATAATAGCTATCTTTACTTATGTTGAATGTTTTGTATTACTTCTATTCTCTGCCTGTGTTGATCTCTTGCTTACACACAATGTACTGCAAATATTGACATAAATAAAGGTTGTTGTCTATAAAGCTTTTGTTTTTGGTTGGTTGAAGGGGAAAAAAACATATAAACCTTACCAAAAAGATGAACTACTTTGCAGTGATCCTAAATTTTAATGACTCAAAACTATGATTCTTCAGGATCCCTGTTATAGGGGGCAAATACCTTGAGTTACATAGGCTCTTCGTGGAGGTTACTTCTAGGGGTGGTCTTTCAAAGGTAAGATTGATTTGTTCACATTGGGCAGAAATTTATGGATAAAAATGATTCCTTTTTGTTCTTTTTCTGGGCTTAAGAAAACCAGACCTTTACCCTTGTTAAGTATTATTATTATTATTGTCTATATTGAACATAATTTTGATCAATATGAGCAAATGTTAGGCCGTATTAGCAAGCTAGGAAGTAATTTATCTTATATTACACAAATGTTGACCTTTTTTTCATAGCTTCCGGCACATTGATTCCTACCATGCAGTGCTCGAAAACAACACTTGGAATTCTTTAGCTACTTGCTGATTTTTGTTCACTGAGGGTGGCTTAAGGCCTTAGTTTTTATTTTTATTTTTTTGGTGATATCAAACAAGCAAAACCAAGCTCTGATGGTTTAAGTTATGATTGCAACTGAGGCTTGGAATATTGGAAATTTAATTTTTAAATATAAGAGTGAAAAAGGACACATCCCCCCTCCTATCCCACATGGTTACATGCAAATCTATTGTGCTTAAAGTAATTTCTTTTGGTATCTGTTTTAAGTGCAGGAGGATATTTACGTGAAATGGGATTGCAGGTTCTTGGAGAGAAAAGATGGAAAGAAGTAACTACCGTTTTTAACTTTCCGTCCTCAGCTACAAATGCTTTTTTTATTCTTCGGAAATATTATGCTTAATTGCTCCACCACTATGAATGAATTTACTATTTTAATGCAAAGTGTTGGACTCCTTCATCAGCTGGTGCGTGAAAAACCCTTAAAGCAAAGCTTCTCTTATATTTCATCAGTTTTTTTTTACTGAACGTATAATCATCTGCAGATGCTTTGCAGAATGTGGCCATGATTGCAGCTCCACTTTGTAGGCTAGCTGGAACACCACAACAATTGACAGACATTCAAGCTGATGTGCCAGTTAAAGTAGCTAAAGGTGGTCACTTTTTCCTCTCATCTTTTCTACGTAACTAATAAAAACTGGTACTTGCATTGTTAGAAATAGAATCCGTTGTTTTTTGGGGTTCTTGTTATCTTAGATCCTCTTATATTGTGAGACAGACAAAAACTAATGACTCCAAGTTGTTTGTGGTTGCAGAAACTGTTAGACCATCAGCAGGTCCAGGTTCTGAAGTGTACGGTGTTATTGATGGGAAGTTTGAGAGCGGATTTTAAGTGTGTACTATTAGCCCCTCCGAATTCAGCAAACCAAGTACAGCAGCATCAAAGTGTCCCTCAAATGCAAATTGCCCCTGTAAATATAGGGTAAGTTTGACTTCCATTAATGACATATATGGAAATTTCAAGGCAATCCTGAGATTAGAGGGTAGTTACTATTCACTTTACATATCTGAACTTTTGATAGTGTTATTAAACTTGTTTTTGATTGCATATGCTTGAGATTAGATGGTTGTTACTATTGACTTTACATGATGTCTCTACCTCTTTATATGTCCACAAGTTTGTGGTACTGCACATAATTTTGTTTGCCTAAAGCCCTAAACCTTAAGGAAGGAAAGTACTCTTTTATGCAAAATACTCTGTGCACTGTATTATAATATTGTACATGATACCTACATAGCTTTAGAAAGCTCACGGTCCATCCCCACTGGAGCCAAGAATTATTTCACCATCCCCAGTGTGTATACAATTCTTCATAGTAGAGTAAAAAAACAATTATGCACAAGGTTCCTAAGGTACATTGCCTTTTCTAGTGTGTGCAAATTATCCTTTATAGTCCCAAAGTTATCTCATATTGTTGTAATTTCATTCTTTTCTTTTGTAGTTTTCAATTAATTTTAATTTAAAATTGTAAATATGTAATTTCATTTATTGTTTTTTACAAATACTATAGTAATTTCATAATGATTGTGTGAGAATTGCATGGTGCAAAATAATATAGTTTTAAAATTATTTTTAATTTTTTTTAACTTTTAAAATGACAATACGCGACCATTCCTATCCAAGAATGGTCGCGTATTACATTTGAATAAAAAAATAAAAAACAATACGCGACCATTCTTAGTCAAGAATGGTCGCGTATTACATTTGAATAAAAAAATAAAAAACAATACGCGACCATTCTTGGTCAAGAATAGTCGCGTATTACCGACATGCGCGACCATTTTGAAATGGTCGCGTAAAGTCCATGACTTTGCGCGAGCCTCTCATAAACGATCATTGTACAATGGTGGCCTATTGTCTTTTACAATGGTTGCCTATCTGCAATTTTGTACTAGTCATGCTTAGTTAGAAGAGAGAAATGAGAGGGGGAAAAGTGTTTTTTTTTAAGGAACAAAACTAATTCATGAAATCATAAATTGGATGAACAATATCATAAACTAATTCCTTACAGTTTGACACAGAAACAATTTTCTAGCTATGTTACAAAAAAACTTGATTCGCTGACTGTTTTATCTCCCTTCTTTTGCCCATTGACAATATTTCTGCTTTTTCATTGTCATCTACTCATCTTCATTGCCTAGGATGAAATTTACATATGTCATGACTATTTTTATCGTTTCACACTCTAAAAAAAAAAAAAAAAAACGAGATAAAGTACACTGCAATAAGCTACAAAAAAAAATAGAAGTACAAAAAAACAAAGAGTAAATACTAAAATGGTCCCTCGACTATAGCTAAATTCACAAATTGGTCATCGACTTTTAATTTCAACCAATTAAGTCCTTAACTTTTCAATTTTAACACAATTTGGTCCTTTGTCTATTTGACCGTTTGTTGACCGCGATCTTTGAGGATATATATGTAGTTTCACGTGCAAAGCTCAAGAGAACGCTCTTGGAGGTGACATCGTTGTTTCGGAGGGGGAAGTGCTTCTCCGCTTGCTGCTTGGGGATCACTAGCCGGTTCAGCTTAGAGAACGCTCTTGGAGGTGACAGCGCCGTTTCGGAGGGGGGAAGTGCTTCTCCGCTTGCTGATTGGGGATCCCGAGCCGGTTCAGTTTGCCTACATCGCTTGGAGTCACGACTTTCTCGAAAAGCCACTCCAGGAACTTCGACGATCTATCTACCAATTTGTGAATTTAACTATAGTAGAGGGAACATTTTGGGTATTTACTCAAAAACAAAAGGTGGCAAGGAGACAAGATGGGCGGCACTATTTGCCAACCCAACCCACTAAACAAAACACAAACCCCAAGCTGACACTCCCAAACCCAAAGACTCAAAAGCACAATCACATTTCCCTAACCCAATTCCACTGCGAATTGTACTTAATATTATTGTATTGTTTGGAACTGTAGCTTTACTACTGGAGATGGAGGAGGAGAGGTGGGGGAAGGAGTAGCCTATTGCTAGTGTGTTTGAGCCACCAAGCCTAGTGGGGTAAGTGGCCAAGAGGACCGGGAAGAGGGTGATGGTTGTGGAGGTGCACCAGAGAAAGGGGGCTACGGCGGAGTAGAGGCCAACGGAGGGAAAAGAAAAGAAGGTGACGGCTGTAGGGGAAAGCGAGAAGGAAGGGAAAAGGCGAGGATGAGGCAGGTGGCAAAGGAAGAAAGAAGGCGATCGAGGAAGAGCAGAGTAAGCAGACGCCGCCTCCGCGAAACCACCGGTCATTTCTCACCTCTTTCTTTTTTGCAGACAACCTCGTGCTCTTTGGGAAAGCCACTGAAAGCTAGGCAAATTGGGACCATGATGAATTGCATCAAAGCAACTATAACCTAGATAAATAATCAAATGCAGTACAACGTTATCAATTATACTGTGTAAATTACATTATTTTAAGCTTCACTACATTTATCATGGATTCATTGTCACACTAATTATTTTTAAAATTAAATTTTTATCCAGGCTCATGTAATTGACTACAAATTAGCTAAACTTATACTTACTCATTAAACACTTTGCTGTTCTCAATCCTTTCAGCAAATTTCATGTCTGTTGAAAATGCTGATCACATACATGCAAATATTATTGCAAGTACAAATTAAAGAAATGAAAACCCTAAAACACAATTGAGTAGAACAGCCTCTCCTCCAATTGATTATTGCTTGATTATGCAAAACTACATGAAAGCAATACAAAACAATTGAATAGTGTAAGAGAAAACTCAAATATATATATATATGTTTGTATACTAAAGAATGGATGAGAGCTCAAACCGCACAATGCAAGCTGAATCAATATACGTGTAGTTTGCCAATGAACTACGTATAGTATAATACGTGGTCTAGTATCACACTGCAGAAAAAGCTACACTTGTGTTCAGATTATACGAGCAGAATCACCCGCATCGCATACCAAGACCGCTTTTCCTTGTTTGATATGGCTTGCCAAATCCGGTTGGAGCTTAGAATACTCGACCCTGACAAAGGTCGCGGCTTCTTCTGCTCGTTCTGCTGCTACTAGTGCCACACAGCACCCTCGGAACCCTGCACCGCTGAACCTGGCCCCATATACACCAGGAGCCTTCAGAAGGGTCTCGTAAAGTTGTATCAGTGGTTCACAACCTGGAATAACCCAAGACAAGGTAAAGAGAAACTTTACATTTTATTTTCTCTTATTTGGATGGTATACATGTTATGATTAGAGCCATTTAATTTATCAAGCTAAGCCACACAAGGATAAGTAAACATATATACATTAAGGATAAGTAAACATATCTTCTGCTACAACAGCATGGCATTTTACATAAGTAAACATATCTTCTGCTACAATAGCATGACATTTTACTTTCATCTTCCTCTACTATTAACAAAAATGTACATTTATCGACAATTTTTTGGCTGTACCATAACTAGGTTTCTGTCTGATATGTCAAACATTTTATCCAAGTACTGTTAAGTGTGTATATTGTCACGCACTATTTGCATGACCGTGTTAGACCCAATGAATGGATGGGCCAACTGGCTAGCTTGCCATAAAATGGGTAGGGGGCGACAATAGCGTCAAGGGTTGTTCTACCTTAGACACTAAGCTCTAGCTGAGTTAGGCATGCCAACCCGGTTAAGTTCGAAGAGCTTGTCGCTAGTCTTGGACTTGACTATGAAGAGGACCAAGGCGATTCGAAGGGCACAGCTGGTCGGGAGCTATTGCCGTTCCCCAGATGAGCCCATGGCAGGACGAAACTAGTTTGGCACCGTATGAGGGTGAGGCTGGTCCGTGGGGTAAGAGGGGCGCTGGGACACCGCACTGGCGTTGTGCGCTACGTTGGACTCTAGGTCCGTGACAAGTGGTATTAGAGCAGGTCATACTACTCATGCCTAACTCGGCTACACCTTAGCGTCTAAGGCAGAACAACCCACCCTTGTCACTATTGCCGTCCCCTACCCATTTTATGGCAAGCTAGCCAGTTGGCTCATCCATTCATTGGCTCTAACATGGTCACACAAATAGTGTGTGACAATATGCTATTTTAATCATCTACTGCTTCTCTTATCCAATCATGTCTTGTTTTATCACTTATCAGGCCGCTGGCTAAGCGTTTTCCTTTCAGTTATATAGCAATTGTGTTAAACGTAGTCTGTTCTTAAAGCCTACACCAGCCATCAACCAAGTTGAAGAAAAAAAATTTGAGAAAAGGAGATGTACCACACTCATAATTCTGAATAGAACTTAAACCGGATTCTGTAACCAGCTTCCCGAATTCCTCAATGTTTCCAGAAGCCCATTCCTCAAGTCCTTTAGTGATACCAAAGTATCATATTAATACAACAGATACACAGCATCACTCAGAAAGCGCTGCCTAAAAGAGGCAGATAATGTCTACAAAAGTGATTTTCGAGCATGTGATAAAGAATTGTACCTTTGAAAACTCGTTTATTTTCTGAGAAGTAATGCTCCGCTCTTTTAGCTAGGTTTGTTTCTAATTTATTCTGCAGAAATTTGCAGAAGCACATGAAACTGAAAGTTTTTCTAACAGAGTTTAATATGGAATAGATACAAAAATAAAATGAAAAAATGAAAAAAGAAACTCTAACCACGATATTGCACAAGCATGGCATTGTAATTTTGATTTTTTGAGTCTTAAGGGAATGCATTGGCATTCTCATGCTAGTAATACAATAATTCATTTACCTTGTGAGCTTCATAAACTTCTTGTGTGACTGCACAAAACGTTAGAAAGTTATACAACCACGAGAATCCTATTTCTGTTCAATATCATAAGCAGGGTTAGTATCCTAACCATCAGACAGGATGGGTTCCTCTTGTTCATTTCTGGACGCCCTGTGAGTAGAACAAAGATATAAACATCAAATTTATGTATAAGCATATTTTATACATCAAGAAAAAATAATAATAATAATAATAATAAATAAAACACGCCATTATAAATATTTCATATAAGCATATTTTACAATGAAATGGCATTTAGTCACTTCGTCGTAAAGCCATAAAGACTGCAACCGTTTCAGAAATGGAACTATCACTGAGATAAGAAATGCAATACAGGAACCATATTAGCGTCTGCAGAAAGGGCATATCATATCATATATGCATATATGATTGGTTCTATACAGAGTCCAATACGGGAGGATGAAATATAAAACGCCTATCAATCCTGCATTATCGGTATCCCTATGTATAGTTACTCTCCTAACAA